GAACACAAAAGCTTCCGCCACAAACGCCTCCAGCTGTAAGTCTACCAACCTTCTAAATATTCCTTTATATGTGGTTCAAAGTTCTGGGACCATCCCCTGAGCCTTCTTGGTCCTGTATTCTGTGTTGTTGCCAGCAGAGCTCGTCACTGCACTTCCACCTGATCAGCCGTCTTCTCAGAAACTCCTATACCTTTCTAAATGCTTCTAATCATTTCCCATGTAAACTTATCTCCCTTCTTGGCGTCTACAGTTCTGTTTCTACTCAGTGCCCTCATTCTGCACACCAGAAGTTTGGGAAATACTAAATTCTCTTCACTGGGCAAAAAATGGTAGATAGGTTCCTGGTGTGGTGCTATGGATTAATGCACTGGACTACAAAGTTGTTTGAAATGCAAGGTCGGTGGTTCAAGCTCACCAACCAACTCGACAGCACTTAACAACAACATGATTTAAGCACCAGTGGAGCACAAATTTGTGCCATTTATGCTGCTGTATGTGCCTAGGAGAGTGTTATGATATTGCATTTATTAAATGCACAGTGGTAGTAGTGTGCTGTGGAGTTGGATCTGACTCATAGAGACGCAGATTTCCAAGGCTGTAAATCTTTACAGTAGCAGAAAGCCTCATCTTCCTCCCGCAGAATAGCTGGTTATTTCGAACTGCTGGACTTGAGGTTAGCAGTCCGAGTTGTAACCACTACACTACCAGAGTTCCTTATTAAATACATGAGTATGTGTTAAATACATGAAATGAATGCTATCATTTTTTCTGTCACATGTAATGAATACTATGTGACACAAAGACCATACCCACCTATAGCCATCTAGTCAATTCTAACTCATAGAGACCCTGTGAGACTGAGTAGCACAGTTCCTTAGGGTTACCAGGACTGTAAACCTGTACAGGAGCAGATAGTTTCACCTTTCACCCATAGAGCAGCAGGTAGGTTTGAACCGCCGACCTTGTAATTATCAGCCCAGTGCTTAACCCACAGTGTCACCAGGACTCCTTCATAGGAGGCATACAAGAACAAAATTGGTCATAGAAGGCATGCAAGAACAAAATTGTTCATTTATATGATAGTCACATGGATATCATATTGTGAATGGTGTTAGGATGGTTTGGTTTAGTTTCATTTTTTGACTAGTGCAGGGTTTGTGTGTGGTAAATATGTAACAAATTTTCGATTTCAGTTATCTATAGTGTATGCTTCAGTGACATTAACGATGTTCATCATATTGTTCAGTCATCATCCTTAATGGTTCCCACATTTCCCCAACACCCTCAACAGAGGTATAGCATGTCCCAAGGAGAGGATCTTATAATCTAGCAGTTTGCTGGATAATAAGAGCTAGCTATGCCAAAGAGCTGGCTCTGATCCTATAGATTCATTCCAGGTAATAAAATGGAACAAGAAGGGAAGGACCATGGTTTCATCATTGTAAGGTTTTCCTGGTAATAGGTGGGCACTAGATGGCAGGCCAGCCAGTGGTTATTGGGTCTCTTAATAAGAAGAAGGAGAAGATGCTCCTTTGTCCTTTGGGGTGAGAGAAGCAAGGGTTAGCATTTTATGCTCCAGCAAATTAATAAACACAGTTATTAAAGGAAGAATTTGAGGTACAGACTGTAATTTCAGGATGTGCAAATGATGATCTCAATTCCATTGCAACATTTTTGTCTTTCATTTTCACATATAGAAAATAAGAAGATGTTTAAAAACTATTAGGTTCCAGGAAAGCCAGTTAGCCAAGCACAAATTCAATTTAAAAAACAATATAATAGATAGTTGTTAGTGACAGGACAGAATTGGAGGATACAGGAAATCACGTCAGAAGAAATGCTATAAAATGCTTTCATTTTCTTAAAGGCCACCCCAACCCCTGGCACACCTTGACTTTCTCATATTTCTATTGTTGGTCTCCACTGAGAATTGGAAGTTTTTCCTTGTAACTTGGCACCATGGAATGCAATTACAACAAGCCCATCCCTTTTGTTTAAACTTTAAAGGTTGTCTCTAAATTGCTGAAATCTTTCTTCAAAGCTCAATATTCTGATCTCTGTTGGGGTATACTTCCTAATTCATTCTAGGCTAGTTGTAGCAATTTCCTGTGTGTATTCTCAGTGATCTTAAAATGTCACTGCACGCTTTTTTAACTTGTGTAATACTAATTGGTACATCATCTTTTATTTTTAAGAAATGTATCATATTCTCCCATCTCCTAGGCACTGTAAGGAAAATATGAATAAACACTTATATAAGTTTATGCTATAAAGACATTTCTGAGATGATTATGTAATATATGAAAGACTTAAAATCTACTTTGAGGAGTCCAAGTGTTTAATAAAAAATGAAGTGCTACAAAATTTGTACTGTAATAGATATCCAAAGTGCTGAAAAATATTCTCAGTTATCAAATCTTATTTTTTGAATCAGGTAACATAATTATATAACCTTACAAATAGAAGAGAATAATATCTCACTTTATCTTTTCTTGGAAATATTTTCATCACTGCATAATTTTCCATGTTACAAATGCAGCATAAGTTAGCCATCTCTTTACCATTTGAACATGTTGGTTGTATAGTACGGTGAATTGCTATCTTATAGTCCTGCAAGATATGGTTTTTGTAGCACACAGAATAATTGGGTGGGAGTGTGCAAATAAGGTGCTCATGTCCCACCAAGAGGGTAGGACGGCCTGCTAAAACAAATATAGTGCATGGAACTATTGCAGGGTTGGGCCTATGAAAATAAGGTGCTTAGAACCTTAGTAGGGGATTGGTCAGTCTTGTCATCCTGCTAGGTTTAAAGCAAGCCAGTCCCAGAGGTAGAATGGGGATCTCACTACCATCAAGAAGAGCCTAGAGCAGAGAGTATCCTTTGAACCCAAGGTCCTCGTGCTGAGGACCTCCTGTTTCCAGGAGATTGAGAAAAGGAGCTGTAACACTGAAGACAGTGAGAGATGGTATGACATCAGTGAGAAGTGGTAGTAAGTGTGGCAGCATCCAGCATCATAGAATTGGTGCCCATAGAACCAGGAGACCATCGAAGAGACAGCATGGTTGGAGAGGGCAGGTTGGACCTCCACCTCATAGCAATTAGCTGTGGACTGATGTTGATGGTGATTATCCTCTTTCCTTGTGAAATTAGATGAGGACCTCTGACACCACACCATTGTTACAGATTGTTTCCAAACTTCTTATATTATGGAAAAGTAAACATCCATGTATATTTCACCAAATCTCTGATCAACACAATGGTTCAGAATTTTTTAGATTAAGTTTTGTGCTGAGGGATGTAGGTGAGTTGCTCAGTGATGCCAGGATTTGCTAGAGGGAACTGTCAGATGGGCAAGTATGGGTGGGAACAGTTTCTCCAGATGTCCTCTGTTCCTACCTGCCTGACCACGAGCACTTATAAAACACTTCAGAGCAAAGCCTAGCCCAGGATGAGTGTTGTGGTGTCCTCTAGCCAATGAATGAATGAAAGTGATTAGTGGCAGTTCCTACTATCTTGCCAGCTAACCAGGGACTTGGCCTTGGTGCAGGTATTAAAGGACTATGGAAGGCTAGATGGTATGTGTCCCAATAGGATAATGACTTTCACTTGCCTTGCTCACCCCTTCAGTTAGAAACCCTGTTGTCTATCAAACTATCAAGTGGGACATTTCAAAGGTCACAACACAAAAACAATTACTACAGCATCTTTGTTTCCAGCTGCACATTTATTTCCACATCAAAATCTATTTGTAGAAGTTACAAGACGGACACCAAAACACATTTCAGACTCAGCAGAAAGCCCACAAAAAGGATTCAAGATGAATGGAGTCAGCTGCCTCCTGGTGACTGGGGAAGAACAAGCAGAGCAGTTCTAACAGGTTGGTTGAGTCTCTGGAGGTACAGGAAAGCCCAGGATCAGAGAGAAAGTAACACAGGCATTGTATGGTGGGCTTTCAGTGAAGCGGGAATACACCATACCATTGAAAGAAAAGTCTAAGCATGCCTCCCTTGCCCATGGATACCACACCATTTTGTTAGAATGTCTGCCTACTGCATTTTCAAGAGCACAGCTACAGTTCTACCAGCAGAAGCAGAGGAATATGACAAGAGCAAAAGACAAAGCCATCTGGAAACTATGGGCTGATTTTTAGCCCAAGACACAAAGCCAGCTCAGACTTCTGAATTTTTCCATCCTTATTCACATCACAGTGACGCAAAAGGATCTCCCGGAACTTATCAAGGTCCACCCCGCTGATGCTAGGCTGGAGACAAAAAACAAACAAACAAGCATGTCAGTAGGAAAGCCATCACACCTTTTAATGCCCCCCTCCTAATATTTGCTAAGTTCTGGGGGGACCCAACCTTCTGAGTAGGCCTTGGAGGAGACCGGCGATAGAAGAGCGGGTCTATGGCTTCATCCCACCAGGTGTTGCCAATGATCAGCTTCCTGCCCACAGGTTAATTTTTCATCATGTCCCTTCAGGTGAAAGAACTTCTATTTCCACCTGACTTCCCCGCAGTTCTTACAGAAAGCCTACCTTATTAACAACTGTAACAAAAAGATTTTGCCTCCAAGCAAAAGCTCATGCTTACAAATGCTATCTTGCTACACTGATGAGAGAAGACTTATTTTATTTTCTCCTTGTTTCTGTCGCTCTGGTTTCAGAAAGAGTTCTAATGAATGGAAATCTAACTAAAACATGATGTTGAGCTAGGGAAGCTGGATTACATCCAAGGAATAGTTTAGCAACTAAGAAGAATTTGTGAGCTAGGACGATATTGTAAATTCAAAGCCTGCAAAAGTTAGTGCTTCTCCGTGGGTGATTTCATGCAGTCCTCACTATAACACTGGGAAGGAAATAATTACCCTTGTTTTAAGGATTAGGACATGGAGGCTCAGACAGAGCTTAAACATCTTGCCAAACTACACAGTTACAAGCATTGTTGTTTTTTTAATACCAAATTTTCTGAGTCCAATTAAATTCTCGTTCCACCATTTCACACTGTTCTCATGAAGAAAAGGCTAGTCTAATGTAACTACATGAGAGCAAATGTAAAAGTCAATGTCTAGATGCTTTGTAACAAAAGCAGAGGAGTAGTTGTCTGGGCGGGACTGATGAAAGGAGATGTGGATAGGTCTCTTGTGATACAATAGTGAATAATTGTTATCAGGACTGATTGTGAGGGTTGGAATGTAAAGGTAGACGTTTTGTAGCAAAAGGAGGGGAGTGGTTGACTTTGCTGTCCAGGCACAGAGGTCTCTGGGACCATCAAGGGAGAAGAGCAGAGTGTGGGACCCTACCTAGAG